TTCAATCGCTGCTATGTTTGCGAATGATCAAATTCATCAGCCGGTAGACATGGGTGGCAGTGTTATTTCTATGAATCAGGCATATCTCGCAAAGAGTCATCTTCCAAGAAATTTTTTCTCATTATCTCTTCAACTTCACTATCACCGTACGATTGCCATTCTCTGCCGGTTGGATCACCAGGTTGTCAATTTTTCAACTTCTTTCAAATGGCTATCATCGCTTTTTTTGGGAATCTGTTTTTCTTCCTTGGCGCAGCACCAGAAATTCAAGAATCATTTTGTGATGCCGTTGGTGATTTCGAACCATTTTTTCATAGAGCGGAGGAAAATTTTGGTCCAAGGCTCAGTACTTCAGTTTTCATTCACGGTCAGGATGGTGTCATTGTGCTTTTCTACTTGCATTCTATTTTTGTAAGTTGACTGATGCTGGGGTTGGCTGTATGGGTTATTAAGTGTCTCCAGGAGTATGTTTTGGAAGAAAAATTGAGAAGGATTGTTGAAGCAGTCACTCTGCATCGGACAAAAAGCAAAACCAACGGGAAAGAAAGCTTAGATAATCAGCCACTATGGCTTGCCTCATTGCGTAATTAAACTGTGGATTGATATGTGCTATATGAATTCACAGCTTCCGCCACAAACTCATCACCCTATTCTTCACACTTTGCCTAGAACCTAATCGTTTAAATATGCATGTGGAAAAAAGCCACGGCTCCATATTTAATAAGACAAAGTTCGTCATTCAAAAAACGGGCGAATTACCACTCCAGGTTTAACCCTTCCCACTGGTGGCTTGCCACCTTCAAATGAAAAGTTCGTTGCGGATCTCTGATCTGGATTTAACAATGGTTTCGCTCTCCCTGAATCCGAAAAAAGGTATTTAAAGAAAATGACGAAAAGGTGCCTTTAAATTAGTTGTGTCAGTCGCTCTTCACTTTCATGATTAAGCCATTATGGCACTTTTCTTTCATATAGTTTGTAGCGCAATACTAATCTACAATTCTATACTATCAGCCAGAAGTGTTTTGTTTTAAGAACCGAGTGATCAATCATGTGCCAATTGTAGCCTACATTCTTCTGTCTCCTTCCCACAGAGTGGCACTATTTTATCAGCCTCGGAAGGAAGAAGAGAGAGTGACTCTGCATGTTTATATAGACTAATATTTTTGACCTCAACTTTAAAAGAAATCAGTGCCAAAATCCCATTGAAACTTATTGAATACCTCCCACTACTCTAAAATGTATCACTGACACTTTGAAAATATTGCGTGATCAGTTGTGCGATACATTCTAGCTAGGAGTAAGTTTAGCACAGCCCCAGTGAGAGCTGAATACTGAACAACTGATTTTGCATCACGTCATCTCAGATTACCAGTACCTGATGAACAGTAAGCCCAACTTTTTAAACTTTTGTACGACCGTCAGAAATGGTGCTGTAGGTATTAGGTAACCTCCGACTACATAGTATTACAGTCTCTGAG